GTGTCTTCGTGTGAATGTTAATGGCAGAAGCTGGTGTTCACCATAACCGGGGCCCTTATTTCAGAAAATACATCATTAAAGCCATGATTGTTAGGGATTGAGGCGCCTGCTTAGGGGCCGTCTGACCGGCCGGCTAAAAGCAGCTAGCGGCCGAGGACCTCCTCCGGCCTCCGGGCCAGCGGGGCTAAAAGCAGCTAGCGGCCGAGGACCTCCTCCGGCCTCCGGGCCAGCGGGGCTAAAAGCAGCTAGCGGCCGAGGACCTCCTCCGGCCTCCGGGCCAGCGGGGCTAAAAGCAGCTAGCGGCCGAGGACCTCCTCCGGCCTCCGGGCCAGCGGGGGCTCCACCGTCACTCTGCTCCCCCCACAGGGAACTGGCCGAGCTGCACAAGGCCAACGCCACCAAGGACAGCGAGGCGCAGGAGGCGGCGCTCAGCCGGGAGGTGGTGGCCAAGGAGAGGCTCAGCATGGCGCTGGAGAAGGCGCAGGAGGAGTCCCGCCTCCAGCAGGAGGCGCTGGCTAACCAGGTGGGCTGTATGTCCCGGTTTCCTGGTCCCCATAAGGGAAAACTCTATTTTATAAAAATCTCCTGTGTGCTGTGGCATATGCTCCCAGCCCAGATGGGTTGGGAGTTGGATGGATGTATCTTTATTGTGTAATTTGTCCACATATATACAGAATTTCTCTTGCTCCCTGCGCTGTTCTTCCCCTGCTCCTCCTGCAGGTGGCAGACCTGCGGCTGGCGCTCCAGCGAGCAGAGCAGCAGCAGGCCAGGAAGGAGGACTACCTGCGGGAGGAGATTGGGGAGCTGCAGCAGGTAAGGGGGCAGCCACACGTGGGCCGTCGGGGGGGGGGGGGGGGCATTTTGCGGTGGTCCATGCAAGCACCTGATGTCCTGCTGTCTCCCGCAGAGGCTTCAGGCGGCGGAGACACGGAACCAGGAGCTGAGTCAGAGTGTCACCTCGGCGACACGGCCACTGCTCAGGCAGATCGAGAACCTGCAGGCCTCACTAGGGGGCCAGACGGCGTCCTGGGAGAAGCTGGAGAAGAACATCTCTGACCGGCTTGGTGAGCAGCGCGTGGGGGTGCAGTCCATGACGGGAGCTTGGGGGTGGGGTCCCGTCTGTGTGTAGCTAAGCGGTGCCCCCCCCCCCCCCCAGCAAACTCCCTGTTTGGGTTCACAGGGCACCTTGTTCTCTATCAGCTAGCTGTTTGTTCAGCTGACGCCCAGGCCCAGCTTGCTGTCGCCGTGGAGAGGGAGCGTTCGGGAGCCGAGGAGCTGCTGGCGGTCAAGTCCCAGCTGGCCTCGCTGGAGTCCCAGAATTCCCTGCTGCGGCAGGAGAAGGGCCGCCTCCAGGGCCAGCTGGACGTGGAGAAGACCCGGAGGGAGCAGACCGAGGACGACAGCAGCAGGTAGCGCGGAAGGTTCTGGTCGGGGGGGGCATCTCAGAAGCTGTGTACCCCAGTGACACAAACTGGAAGGATCTTAGAATTCTGGGAATTGTAGTCAGTGAGATGATAGCACTCACCTAGGCTCTGTGGTCAGGCCATTCAGTCCTAGAACATCTGGATTAGGCTCCCATGTTACCTGGTGCCCCACCCCCTCTCCTCAGGGAACGTGTGGAGCTGGAGAACCTGAGGGGGGAACACGTGCGGGCGCTGGAGGAGGCCCGGAAGGAGAAGGTAAGCCCTGCAGACGTGCGATGGCCTGTGACCTCTGCCAAGGGGCCCCCTGCTGACGATACTGCTGCCTTTGCCCCCCCCCCCCCCCCAAAGCTGCTCCTCACCAATCAGCTGGAGATGGAGAAAATGAAGGTGGAGCAGGAGAAGAAGAAATGCTACCTGGCCCAGGAAGCCCTCAGAGAAAGGGTAGGGACACTCCGGTGCGTGATGCCAAGCCGTACCCCGCACTGCGGCCGCCTGCTCTCACCTCGCGGCATTCCCAGCAGGACAGGAAAGCCCTGGTGCTCTCTGCGACCGAGGCCCCCGCCACCTCCACCCCCACCCTGTCTCGCTCCAGCTCCATCAGCGGGGGCGACGCCAGTGGCCTACAGACGTCTGTGTTTTCTCAGGTGGGTCACTTCACTTCCCCTACTGGTCTTTTCCAGTAATTTGTGATGAGTGATATTGTGTGATAATGGTCACTCAGTTTCCTTCAGTCCGTAATTATACTGAGAGCCTCATTCATTCTTCAGAACTGGGGAGGAGCAGAAACGTGCTCTGCAGCACAGCATCTCCCTCTTATGTAAAAGGGTCCATTCTGCTTTCCTCCACTAGATGGCAGCATAACTTAACCTTGGCTCGTACCTCAGAATTGTTTTTGTTGGTCAGGTAAGGATAAAATCGGGGGAAAAAATGAGATTCCTGAATGCAGTGAACAGTGTCTATCAAGATGAGCAGTAAACCCAGTGCTTACTTAGACAACGTAATGAGCTGTGAATTGCGATTCCGTGTGATTAAAGCAAAGAGCCTGTCTGGAGGGTTTGGCATAAAGGAGTCGTGCTCACCGCTGCTCTTCTCCTCCACTTCAGGACGACTCTCTCGATCATCCCTTCGGCGCGATGCACACGTCGGCGAGCGCGAGTAACCTGTACGAGGCGGCGCGTCTTGGCGGCGGCTCCAGCGTCATCGAGAACCTGCAGTCGCAGCTGAAGCTGCGGGAGGGGGAGATCGTCCAGCTGCAGGCACGGCGTCGCCCTCTTTCCCAGAGGAGTCTCTTCCTCCTGCTTGGTGTTGTCGATGGCGTGTTTACGGGGGTTCATTGAGCTTTAAAATGGCCGAAAGAACGTTAACCTGAGCCTACAGTGATCCTCCGTCTCCTTCCGCACAGCTGATCTCCGAGGCTTTTCTTACATCAGAAGTGTTCATTAGCTATTGTCGATGGAGATATATATATATATATATATATCTAACGCGCGGCCGCACGCGTTAATGGTTGCTTATCCTCCCTCCCAGATCGAGATCTCCAACTTGGAGAAGACCCGCTCCATAATGGCAGAGGAGCTGGTCAAGCTGACCAATCAGAATGACGAGATGGAGGAGAAGGTGAAGGAGATCCCCCGACTGCGGGTGCAGCTGAAGGTGAGGGCCGATGACATCGGCCTTTTAACGATATATGTTTGTGTATGACATGCGTCAACAGTGCATTCGATTAGCCAGCCTGTGTCACATGATCATCACGTGACCCATAGCTGCCACAGCTTTAGCGGTCATGCTAATGTCTGGGTGGTGTATGGCTTACTGTGTCAGGATACTGTTCCTGTGATCAGATGGAAGTTGCTCGTTCAAATCTCTGGGTCGGCAGAGTGATGTCACCAATGGGCGCTTTAGCAAGGCCCTCAATCCCAGTTGCTCGTGGGATTGACTGACCCCTGCTCTCTTGATTGTATATCGCTTTGGACAAAAGGTATCATTCAGATGGATCATAAAACAATTCTTGCACATTTGGTAGGATGAGCGTAATCCAGGCACATTTATCTACTCATAGCACATTGCATTGATAAATCAAAGACTGGGGAATGTTGGTGATTTTCGCCCCGGGAACTCGGTTTTACGTTACAAACTTGGCCATTGTCCTGTCATTTTCTTTATGTCTCTGACCTGAAAACTCCGAGCCCCTGACTTGGTTAATTTGGATGCCGGCCATCCCAGCCGAAGCCCTCTTTTCCCTACTGTCCCGGTGGAACAGATACACGACCCTGGAGCTGTCTGTGGTTTTAATGTCCTTCCATTCTCTCTGTCCATCCAGGAGCTGGAACAGAGACACAACACCATCCTGCAGATGTATGGAGAAAAGGCGGAGGAGGCGGAGGAGCTGAGGCTGGACCTGGACGACGTGAAGAACATGTACAAAACCCAAATTGACGAACTGCTGAGGAACCAGAAATAGAATCTAGGCTTCAGCAAAATAGATGGAATAAAAATAAGAAAATGACTTGTGCGTGTGCTTTCAGCGGGCCGGCCCAAGCTGCGTTCCTCTCATCGCCACCATCGTCGTCGTCATTCATGAGCCGACAGGCTCTTTCATTCTAGTGTGATTCCTTTTACACAATGACAGTGTGATCCTGAGCTTGTCTGCGTCGAAACGTTCCTGCTTTTATCAGAATGTGAATTAATTGCCTGTGAGAAGATTATAAGTTAGGGTATTTCTGAGACTGTAAGGAACGCTTTTAACAGAATTTACTCCTTAAAGAAGGAGTGTTATGAAGAAGATCTTTCTTTGGATGGTTTGTAGACGCCTCTGTGGTGCTTTCTGAGTCCGTGAGGCTCTTTGATGAAAGTTCCGTGGGCAAACTACCTGACTGTGAGCAGGACCAACCACCTGAGCCTGCAGGACTTTAAGCAGGTTCTCTCACTGCTGGGGTGGGGGGTGTATCCATACTCGGGCTTCTGGGAACATGGCGGAACGTCTGCTGCTTTACCTTCAGCTTCTTCCCCAGCTTTCCCCCGTAAGTCGGACACAAGAGTCGGTGTCGTCCCCCCCACTAAGAATGTCTTCTCTGATCTGACCCCAGGTTCTTTTACACTGTAGGAGGGTGTCATCATTATGGTTTGCACTAAGTAATGTTAAGTCAAGTTTAATGGCTCTAAAATTATACACAATCTACTGAAAAGATAAAGTAAAAAGCTACAGAGTAGTAGGGCCTCTACTGTATGTTATGTTCTAGATATTAAAATGTTATTCTGTGATTGACTTTATGGTGTGGAATCACATAGCACACTGTGGGAGGGGATATTGCAAATGTATAGATTCTTGGTTTTTCAGACAGTTATCACTTGTAAATTAATGTATATATCAAATGTGATTAAATAAGACAAAATAAAATATTACGCGGTAAGTATTTGTGTTATCGTCATTCCGCCAAATACAGTCCAGCTTGGGTCTGTTTTTAACGTCTCGAGCAATTTTGCGGGTCCGTGCGCCACCTGGCGGCCGAGAGTTAATCGCATGCCGGAGAATAGTTTCCGGTGTTATGGCGACTGGCTCCTGCGCTACTGTTTAGTTAGTCTGCAACGTAAGTAAAGATTTAGCGCATTTAAATGCCCAGAGTTTTACTCGTGAGTGGTTTCTAAGTAGTGAAATGCAGGATGAGCCCCTGGCGTGTCTTTGCATGCATATACCGCAGATGGTTAGTTTAACCCCGCCGGGAGCACGCCGTATACACTATAACGAGGGCAGATGCTGGATTACATTAGTGCCCGTTTTAACACTGACTACTTTTAGCAAATGTAAACGAGTTATTTGCGCTCCCTGAAATGTCAAACCCCTGTATTCAAATGGATAATAAACGCCAGGAGGCGATTTATGCGGCTATATATATAGCAGCTAGCGGTGCGTGTCATATTTATTAAGATCAATTAGAAGAAAGCGTAATAGAAATTATATTAAAGGCAAAATCAGTCGTGGATGTTGGGATGAGTAAAAAAGGAAAATGAGCTATTTATATAGTTTGTAATCGAAGGGTTTTGTTTATATGTTGCTTATATTTGCAGTATTCATATTAAGTAGCTACAGTGACATATAATACCTCGATGTGATAGGTTCAAGCAGCTTTAATTACAGTGAACAAGTGCTTCATGTGATTACTGAGCTGGAAAACAGGAGGAAAGGGACATTTTATAGATTTTCTTGCTTGTGTTATCTGAATTTCAGAAAGCGGTGTGGGATTTTAAAATTTTCACGTCATGCCGGCAGGTCGCTTGATGTATAAATTTTTTACTCTAGTGAGCAGTTTAACAGTCTAAGACATGAAGTTCAAGTCTCATTGTTGTTGATCCGTTTCTCTTCGTATTTGTCTATTAGCATGAGAAGTTTTGCATTAAGCGTGACGTTGACTTCGGTTTGTCGGTCCCTAATTGTCGAACAATGGTAGGAAAGGCGCAAGTGATGCTTCCTGCCACCTCACGACTCAAGCTGGGACCTGCGCTTTCCCACGCTGTGCCGAGCTGTTTATTTCTGTCCAGGGTGTAAACAGCGCGTCCCGTGTCTCTCCACGCGCAGAGCTTCATGTGTGCCGGCACCCTGGAGAGCTTTCCTATGCACTTTTCCACGAGAGAGTATGTCGTTGCTGGGAGTACTGGGAATGGTCTTTGCTTGCGTCGTGGTCAGCACAGAGGATGACGGCCGCCCCCTGGGCCAGCATGGGAGTGAAATGCTGAACTACAGCAGTTTTTCTTTGCCGGATGAGCACATCCCATACTTTCTTCATAATAACAAGAAGATCGCAAAACTCTGCAGGGAAGACCCACATTGTCCTTTCAAAGTAAGTGAATTCTGGCAACTATAAGTGGCTTTAATTTCCTTTTGGTGGTGTGGGCCTTGCCCATGGATGATGGCAACAGACACCCCAGTGTGCTACCTGAAGAGCAAAGGCTCATACTGTGCTGCTGGGGCTCAACCTGCATCAGCGCCGGGAGAGTCTAGAAAGTTCAGACTCTTTTCATTCTGCGTCTGGCTTGTTCCTGTCGTCCCCAGGGTGCACTGCGAGACAAGGGGGCCTGCTGGGGCTACGAGAAGGACTGCAGTCCCGAGCAGCGGTTTGGCTATCCCATCTGCACCAAGGTCGATACGGGATGGTATGGCAACATCAGCAGCTGCCCCAGGGCAAGCGATGAGCAGATACTCATGAGTTTGTCACCTTGTCATCTGCGAGACTCGCTTTGAGCTGTGGCTCCTGTGAGCTCCGGCCCCTGTGAGCTCCGGTGCCTGTGAGCTCCGGCGCCTGTGAGCTCCGCTCTGGCGTTCCTTTGCATGTAGCTTTAACAGGATGAAGTTCCTGTTTTTGATTTTCTCCTGAAACTTCTTAATGCTCTGGGTTTTGGCCGCATGCACCAGCGTCGTCTCCTCCCTCCTGCCCCCAGGGTCAGCTCGCTGGCGGCTGCTCAGGACGTCTTCTGGAGGCAGGCTGACTTCGGCTATGTGAGGGAGCGTCAGGATGAGATGAAGACCTTCTGCAAGGCCTCTGAGCCCGTGAGCCTGACATGGATTTACCTCCTGCTGCATGAGTCACTGACAGCGGGACGCTACTGTAGCCATAACCTTCTGAGCTCAGCCTCATGAAGAATCACCGGAAATTGAAATTTTGGCTAGTCTGGGTTCTGTGTTTATAGCCTTCAACATGGCTGAGGATTATTTTCTGGTTCAAGATTCACCAAAATGCAATTGCAAGTCGCATTTATTAGTATGTACATGTGATGGGTGAATGTTGCGATTATGTGTCTGGCAGGGGGACTCCTCCTTAAAATGCACCAGCCACATGCGATTCTGCAGGGCCACCAACCTCTACATTGACCTCAGGCAGCCTCCAAGGAGCCATGAAAGGTGAGCCTGCTGGCTGCATGGCCACAGGGCTTGGTGTAGAAGTTTCTGTGGGACTCGAGTAGCATTACACGGCCTCCCCTTTCATCTCGCAGCTTCCCATTGGCTGGCCGTTAGCTGAGCACGGACAATTCACGCCATAAAGGAAACCTATCCCTATTTCTGCATGTTACTTTATTGTTTCTGTGACCATCCATCCATCCGTATTGTTTTTGTCGTACTGTCTTCCATCAATCCATCCATCCTAAAGTACACGTTGAATGTGCAGTCATTTTCTGCTAAGGGAGTTGCTGCCTTGCAGGTATAAGGAGGACTTCCTACGGGACGGCGAGATTGGAGGACGGTGCAGGCTAAACAGCAGGGCTCTTCAGTCAGCTGGGCAGCACAAAAGCCCCCTGCAGTCCTGGTATGAGATGCTCTGCAGTACCTGCCTGTCCCCACAATGTGATGAAAACCTATTATTCTGACGTTGTGGGGATCATATTTTGGGGAAATTCAATTGTATAAAAACAGTGACTGCAATCAAAAAACTAAAAATGCCAAAAGTCTTGTATTTTGTGTGTGTGTGTGTGTGTGTGTGTATAGGATTCCAAGAACCAATCTTGAATAGATGCCTTTATTTCTTGCTAGTGTTAAGTTTAATAGGCTGCTACTACTATATAATAATAATATATAATAATAATAATAATAATATTATTAATAATCCCCCTTGCATAGCGGGTTATTCTGGTTATCAGGGTTAACCCACCCCTGACTAAGGGGGTGTGCCGCTCCCTGGGGCCCCCAGGTCAGTTAACCCGCCCCTGACTAAGGGGGTGTGCCGCTCCCTGGGGCCCCCAGGTCGGTTAACCCGCCCCTGACCAAGGGGGTGTGACGCTCCCTGGGGCCCCCAGGTCGGTTAACCCGCCCCTGACTAAGGGAGTGTGCTGCACCGTTTTACACTGCAGGTACGCTGAGCTGCAGACTTACAGCAGCCTCCCCTTCAGTCCCCTAGCGGAGCGGCAGTGTGACCTGCTGGTGGAGAGGCCTACCATCTTCATGAAGCTGGACGCGGGTAAGGCCCTCGTGACGTGGCTCTGTGGGGTGGGGGGCCGTGACCTCGGGGCTACCAGAATAAGTGGCCCTTCTTCTCATTGTCCCGGGGCAGGCGTCAATATGTACCACCACTTCTGCGATTTCGTCAACCTGTACATCTCGCAGCACATCAACAACTCCTTCAGCAGGGACATCAACATCGTCATGTGGGACACTGTGAGTCCTTCTTCCAGCCGCCGGGGTGCTCTGCCAGAAGCTGCTTCCTGTCCATTGTTCCTCCCCTCTATTTTTGTATGGGAAGGGAAAAGGCTGGGGGGGCGGGGGGGAAGTGCCAGGCACTGCTAGTTGGCTGACAGGGGGCGAGGGTGGGGCCACCCAGCACAAGCTGCCACACCTTGAAGCGATGTTATCTGCCTTCTGTGTGTCCGCATGATCTGGCAACGCCGTTTTTGCCGGGCAGAGCTGGCACGATTATGGCGACCTGTTCAGCGAGACGTGGCGAACCTTTTCAGACTATGAAGTCATCCACCTGAAGAGCTTCGATTCCAGGCGGGTGAGGCGTTTCTGCTGCCCCCTTCCTCTGTGGCGACTTAGGAGCCTCTCTCAGGCTTTGCTGAGACTGCGTTGTTCTTCCTCAGGTGTGCTTCAAAGATGCCATCTTCTCGTTGCTGCCCCGGATGAGGTACGGCCTGTTCTACAACACACCCTTGGTAAGTGTCGGCCTCCGTTTACCATGGGTTGCACTCACCCCTCTGGCTCACTATATACAGTACCAGTCAAAAATCTGGACACATCTCCTTTTAATGCACTTATCTCTATTTTATCACTGTCGTTTGCCATATAGAAGGTAATGAATACATATCAGATATTGCAATGACCAACAGAAGTGTTCAGTATCTCAAAATCATCTCAGATGTTAGACTCTTCAGAAGAGACTCCTTTTGCTTAGATGACAGCATTGCGGACTCTCACATTCCCGGTGGCTCCCTTTGGATGCTGGTTGACAGAGTGCCTTCTCCAACAGTCCTGAAGGAGCTTCCACAAGTTCATGGCACCAGTTGGCTACCTTGCTCTTACTATTTGATGCAGCTCATCCCAAAGCAGCTCTATAGAGTTTAGGTGGGGGGACTGTGGGGGCCAGGTCACTTGTCACAGTACTCCATCTCAAGGTGTGCTTAGGGTTGTCGTCTTGCTGGAGAACAAATGATTTTCAGTAGGTGTGTCTGTACTTTTGACTGGTTCTGTACATCAAGATTCTTTGGCTACAGCCCCCCCCCGCCAAAAGCGGGTCTACAATTTTGCTCTTGTTTACCATCTAGATGATTTTACCCATGTAATGTAAGGCTTTATAATGATGTTTAGCTGCTGGACTACAGTGAAAATATGGGATTGCATCTGGGCGGGGGGGAGTCTTTTTGTATTTACAGTGCAGATACAGGTCTTTCTCACTCTTGTGATGTCCTTTGATAGGTGGGTCACAGCCCATTAACCGCTGCAGAACCTGTCGCCCGTGTTTGATTTGCAGATTGCAGACTGCCACAGCGATGGGATGTTCAGGGCGTTCTCACAGCATGTCTTGCACCGGCTGTACATTCCCCAGGAGGGCCCTCTGGTAGGTCATGCTGCTGTGTTAATGGGCTCTCGCGGGTTGGCTGCACTGCCGTGTCAAAGGGCTCCCTTGGGCGGGCTGCGCTGCCGTGTTAAGGGGCTCCCTCGGGTAGGCCGTGCTGCTGTGTTCAGGGGCTCCTTTGGGTAGGCCGCATTACCGTGTTCAGGGATCCCTAGGGCAGACCGCGCTGCCGTGTTAAGGGACTCCCTCGGGTAGGCCATGCTGCCGTGTTAAGGGGCTCCTTTGGGTAGGCCGCATTACCGTGTTCAGGGCTCCCTAGGGCAGACCACGCTGCCCTGTTAAGGGGTTCCCTCTAAGTTCACTATGATGTCACTGCTCCCCACCATCAACCAACATGCACACAACCACAATCCCTCAGTGGCCTGCAACTTTCCATCGGGATTTCAGCTGCTCTGTTCCTTCCTTCCTCACTTTGAGTAAAACAAGCCAGCAGCTGTTGCTGGCACGTAATTACAAGGCTGTAAAGGCATCTGTGCCTTACAAAAATAATATGATTCTGGCCCCTAGGTGGCACAATAGAACAGCATTTCAGCTGGTCCAGGTTTAGGCCTAAGATTAGTAGACTGTCTCTCTGAAGGTCTCACTGTGTGTCTGACTTTACAGAAAGGTACGATGCTGGCTGCCGTACCGTAAGAAACATTTAGAGTAACACTGGGCATCCGCTTCAGCAGTGATTTACTTATATGGTGCAGCCAATTCCAGAAATTCATAACTTAAAAACCTGTTGTTTGTCATGATTTGGTGTGAAATACCATCACAAACCTCCACAGGATAAAGGATGGATGGATGGATGGATGTGTGATTGAAATCCCCGCCCCCCCCATGTTAATTGGACCCTGACCTGTGGCCCCTGGCCTTTTCTCAGGATGGCAGGATTCGTGTCACGCTGCTCTCCCGGAGTACGGAGTACCGTAAGATTTTAAATCAGGAAGAGGTGAGCTGTTTCCCATATAATGATTTATTGCTGGTATTTAATAGAGCACAACCTGCCAATGAAACCTTATTTACAATAAACCGGAGGTGCGGCAGCTTCACTGTGTTTGGCGAGCTGTAACCTCATTGGTGTGGCCATTAATCACACTATAACCGACTCGGTTACAGCTTATCGGGGCTTTGAAGACCGTGCCTTTGTTTGAGGTCAAGCTCGTGGATTACAAATTCAAGTGAGTGCGGTATTGTAGCATTGAGATGTGCTGTGGGCACCGTTGCAGTCTAAGGAGTCTCGGAACATAAACTGACCTGCTGTTTCTGTCCCTCACTCCTCAAACACTTAGGGACGTCCCCTTCCTGGAGCAGATCCGGACGACACACAATTCGGACATCTTTATAGGGATGCATGGGGCCGGGCTGACCCATCTCCTGTTTCTGCCGGACTGGGCCGTGGTGTTTGAGCTGTACGTACCCCCCCCCCCCGCCAGTCTTGACGTGACGCACCGTGCAGGATGCGGTGCGCAGATGCCCGTATCTCCGCCGCTGGCCAGGATGGTGAAGCGCTGTGTAATTAAAGAGGCATTAATCACGGCGGGATGTTTCGGGCGCCATGCCGCTCGCGGCTGAGGATGGAAGATAAAGTGTCCGGCTGTGTTTCTTTCTGCAGATATAACTGTCAGGATGAAAGCTGCTACAGAGACCTGGCCCGCTTGCGAGGGATCCGCTACGTGACGTGGCAGAGAAGGGACAAAGTGGCTCCTCAGGACAAGGTGGGGGGAACCGTGGGGGGGGGGGGCGCTTATGAGCTATAACCGGCTTTATAATGCATGTGTACCAGCGTGAAGACGTCCATCTCCAGCATTTATATTCTGGAAAACACTAGAGCGCCTGCATTTGGCATTAAAGCACCTGAATCTGCACGTTAAGGCACCTGAATCTGTGCATTAAAGCACCTGCATCTGTATGTTAATGCGCCTGAATCTGTGCATTTAAGCACCTGCATCTGTATGTTAATGCGCCTGAATCTGTGCATTTAAGCACCTGCATCTGTATAGTTAACATGCCTGAATCTGCCACTTCTCTCACCTACATCACATTTTTAGCAGATTTTTTTGTATATTTCTGTACATTTGTGCACCTTTCTGTACATTATAATGAAAAATAGAACAAATAATTTATAATTATCTATCCATTGTTGGCCCTCCATCATTGGCGTCACACACTTCTGTCTGGTATTTAACCGTGGCATTAATCTTGGGGGGGTGAGGGGCAGGTCCCAGCGAGGTTTTAACACCTGCCACCCTTCTGTCTGTCCCTGCACAGGGCCACCACCCCACTCTGGGAGAGCACCCCAAATTTACCAATTACTCCTTTGATGTCGAGGAGTTCATGCGGCTGGTCCTGGGGGCGGCTGAGCATGTGCAGAACCACCCAAAGTGGCCTCGTGGGCCCCAGCATGATGAGCTATAGGGCCCCTCCGCTATGGGGCCCCTCCACCACGAGGGTGGGGGCGTATTGCTGGGCAGTGCTGCAGCCAGGTGTGTATGCAGCAGCGTGGATTTGCACTCCTCTACTATACTACGTGTGTCTCTGTATGTAATTGAAAATGTTACACTGCAAACAGGGCTGTTTGGCTCTGAGACGATTGGGAGGCCTGGAGTGAACTCTGGAGGAGCTCCAGGCTGAGACAGCTTCAGCCTTTGGGCTGATCCTGATTCCAGTGGATCTCCAGGCCGGGACAGCTTCAGCCTTTGGGCTGATCCTGAGTCCAGTGGAGCTCCAGGCCGGAGCAGCTTCAGCCTTTGGGCTGATCCTGATCCCAGTGGAGCTCCAGGCCGGAGCAGCTTCAGCCATTGGGCTGATCCTGATCCCAGTGGAGCTCCAGGCCGGGACAACTTCAGCCTTTGGGCTGATCCTGATCCCAGTGGAGTTCCAGGTCGGGACAGCATCAGCCTTTGGGCTGATCCTGATCCCAGTGGAGTTCCAGGTTGGGACAGCTTCAGCCTTTGGGCTGATCCTGATCCCAGTGGAGCTCCAGGTCGGGACAGCTTCAGCCTTTGGGCTGATCCTGATCCCAGTGGAGTTCCAGGTCGGGACAGCTTCTACCTTTGGGCTGATCCTGATTCCAGTGGAGTTCCAGGTCGGGACAGCTTCAGCCTTTGGGCTGATCCTGATCCCAGTGTCCCGGGCCTCATCCTTCCACTACAGATATGGGAGTAAGTGGTATAGTGAGATGGGAGCGCCGATGCACGTGGTACTTTCTGTAAGCCATCTGCCCTGTGCTCCCGGGGCACTGGGGAGAAAGGGAGGGGCCTTTCTCATGATGTCATGCTGAGGTCACCCATGTGTCTATGAGAATGTCATGGCATATGTTACCCTTCAGTGTCAATGTCTGTTTGTCTTTTTCCTCTCTGTTGTCCCTCAAAATGTGTATTTTATTATTTTTTATGCCATCTGGTTCTTAAAAGTGGAACCTATTTGTGCAGAACATTTTTAAGAGAAAGTATTGATTATGATAAATATGCATTGGCGTTTTTTGTTTTTGTGACCAGCCTAAACTTTTCTGTTGTGTGCTGTGATTTAACTGCCTTATCAGTATTTATTACCAATGCATGTTGTCAGTTTTGCTTTTCTATACCCTGATACCTTATTTAATTCCCTTTATACACAATTTAAGACACTAATACACCATATAAATCTATTAATGTATAATATGGTGTTAAGTGGATTTTTAGTGAAATTTGTTTTAGCCATTAGAAAGTCTGACGCAACAAAACACTTAAGTTGTACATCTTGCTCTGTGTTTCAATAAAATAATTTTGGCTCAAAGAAATGATTTTGTTTTTGCTTCTTTGGTATATAGTATTTCACAATATGTGTGAATGTGTTCAACAGGAAATTATCTCCCAAGACAGAGCCTAGTAAGAACTCTATGAGAAAATCTATGTGCAATTTACAAAAACTCAAAATAGCATCCAATAGAAATGACTTGTGAATAGGAGTGAAATAGACATACTTTTGTGACACAATTTTTTGTGGCTTTTTTGATGAAACGAATTCATATTTCTGCCGTTTTATGTCATGATTAGGGCACTCACCCGTTTACCACTGAACTCTACTATAAAATGTAGAAAACGACTGGTCATTAAGATTGCGTTTTCGGAATTTTGCTGACTTCCATTGTTTCCTTTTTTCTTCGGTTCTGTTTTATCCTGCATGTCACCAAAGAACGCACGTTAGACCTAAGGGCAGTTACTTTGGGTCGTGGACAGTCATCGTCATAAATCTCCCTGACCTCAAAACGAAGAACTATAGACGTCGAATTCACTGGCACCATCTATCCAGCAGATGGCAGTGTAGTATCATAAATGAGTTCACAGCTTCTTAAAACACATCCGAGATACCGACAGACTAGCGTCGCAAACCTATGCACTGTTAACCATATGTAATGTACGCCCTACTTACCACCCACCCATCATTTACATGTCTGTAAATTCACTTGTAGCACGAATATTTGCCTATTAAAACGCCATTATAGAAGATTTAGACAGCTAATGTATGGTTTGAATCTGCACAAAGAAAGACCATTCTGTATGGTCAATAGTGTATGATTAGCGGTTTCCTGCCCGATAAAATGGCATCTCAAGGTAGACAGAACTATGTGAAATAACATCGCCCTTGTACAGCGCTGTATTTTTCCACTTGTGACTTGTGACGATTGGCCATTATCTTCTGACATTTATTACTAACAAGATCATTTCTGCCGTATAAATGCAATTGATTACAAGTTAATAATGATTTCTCTGTAAATTCTAGACACTGTAGTGTGTGAAGATCGATCCCAGAAACGTGGCTCTTTCTGAGATGCTGAAAGCACCACGTCTGACATCACACTATGTTTAAAAATCCCTTACATCAGACATCTTAGCCGCACAGTAACGGAACGTCTTGACCCTGTTTGTATGCTGCATGTGTGCCTTAAGTTGCAGCCACATGATTCACGGGAGGAGCATGCATTTGCGTTAGCAAGCTGGTGTACCTAATAAAGTGGCCACTAAATGTATTTCACTTGTGGCTATAAATAAATATATGTTTTAAATATATCGGAAGCAATCTGCTGTCTTTCCGCGCTTTCCCGTAGGGTAAAATGCTTTCTGGTGTTTACAGTTTCTCCCACACATTCAGTTTTTCCTCAGTCACAGCGCAGACAGAGGCGAGAGTGTGACCGGTCCCCATGAGCCCGAGGCCAGCTGAGAGTGTGAACGGTCCCCATGAGCCCGAGGCCGGCTGTGTCCCCAGCGCTGCAGTCAAACTAGTCGTTCACGTTCATCGCCTCGCTTTCCCTATAGGTCGGGCCGAAGGTCTGAAAACGAGGAGGCGGACGGGAGCGGATTGCGGGTATGCGGTGGCCGGGCCGGGTAGGGCTAGGGAAGGGGACGGCGGCTCGTGTGCTGCCTGTTTCTGGCCGCACACTCAGGGTGAGGATGGATACGGATGAGTCTGGCTTTGGCTCCTCTCGCCGCAGATGGATGAGGACACATGGGCAGTTTGTTATCGGCGGGGATGCCGACGCTGGCCGTCCGCTGTTCCATAGTGATAAACTTCACGGGGCCAGCTGCAGTAGCTGCGCCTCATCTCCGCACATGTCCGTCCCTACTAGCCCCTGTAATAGGTGAGTTACTGCCCCGAGAAACACCGTGCTCTCAGTCAGCTCAGCTGATGCTGGGAATTATTCATTAAGACAAATTGAAAGCCTCTTTTCTGACGGAATCTTCCGCTCCATGCATTTTAATGAGCGTTTACTTGTGTGCCCTTGTTCTCCAATTAAATGACGGCTTGTCATCAGCAAAAGCATCGTCGTACGTCCGCTCCGCCGTGTTTGTTGTGTTCACCTGCAATGTGTGGTAAGCAAAATGAGGCAAAAATATCAAACGAGTTATTTTTAATGCTCTTTTCAAAATAGACGTGTAGAACAGAATAGTTTTTTCCTCCTTCAAGATTTGCATATTGATTCTGATTCTACAACGCAATTATAATAGAGTTTTTAAACCTTTACCTGTGATACTATATGGCCAAATCGATATTTTACCAATAGATGCCTTTCAAAGTTGTACTAAAGTAATACGACACTTTCCCACTACTTGAAGGAAAAAATGATTCAAAGACAGTAATAACGTTTGGCTCTGTGTAGCCAGCTGCAGTTTTCTGGGCTTATGCGCATAATGGTTATAACACTCCGAGTGTTCACGAATGTTTACTGTGTCGGTTGCACACCGTATAAAATTAACCGGCCCATCGTCGTTTTTGCCTGAGGCGGATTTGAGCTGCGATTTGTTTTGTGCATTAGTGTCCGTCTTTCTGCCTGTTCATTTCCTTCTGTGTTCATGCACAAGATCAGTTGTGTGCTCATCATCTAAGCATAATCTAATTCGGAATACGAAGAAAACATTTCTCACCACCGCACTGAATAAATCAATCGCAGCTCATTTTACCAGCCACTTAACTAAAACCATACATGACCAGAGAGCCCTTTCTTCGGGAGTGTTTCCAAAGGAAGAGCAGCAATATTGATTAACTAAAAAGAGGGATATTCCTCAGGCCATGGACTCTTTTTCATAGAAGAACCAAAGCTGTGGCAAGTGTGAGGATCTGTGCAACATTTACGGTATTTTCACCTTAATCAAACTAAGATTTTATGCAGTGTGAATAAGGAGGCCTGTATCAGTCATGCATAAAATGCCAAATTTCATCGTTAAAGTAATTTGCAAAAGAGAATGACAAAATGCAATACGGTTTTGAATTAGGGAGCTGATTCATACAATAAAAAAAATTAAAGCAAAATTAAACCTTTTCGTGTCTAAGACCTATGAGGCGAAATAAATGTGCAGAAATTAGACTAACGAAAAGAAACTCGAAATCAATCCATTTAGCCCTTTTCGTACTGTCAGCTAAAATCAAAGCAAGGACTAGTCAATTCAGATTTATAGGCGGAATTTAAAATGTATGCTTCGAATATAACTATCGTTCGTGAGCATGCTCATTAGTATGGAGACTATTCAACTTCATCGAAGTAAAACGACACGTGATATGTAAATTAGCCATGCAACTGGCCCGGAGCAACCAGTCATTGAAAGTGTGTTAAAAAATAAGCTTAATTAAACCGCTAAATGGGACATAAACTGCATCAGTGACACTAATTTACCGTTTTCTTTGTTTCTGGACGTTTGTTTCGGTGCACACGGGCACTGGACTAATACAGAATTTAAAATGAGCAAGGTGACTTGCTTTGTCTGTTGTGATCTGGATGAGTTATCATCACAGAATGGCGGCCCCCTAACCTTGCCCATTATGTTGAAAACACCTCCTTCAACAATCCTTCAAGACCGGGATTTAAAGCCTCCGCTTTGTAAAGATCTATCGTATTGTAGAAGAGAACATATCAACCAAGTTCTGCTCTATAACAGATTTACTGAATTTCTAATTGGAATATACACCAGATAAACGTCTTATTTGCAAATCTAGGCAACTAGTATTTCTTTTAAACTGGAAAAGGACAGATTATAATATAACTCCACTATAAAAGACAAACAGTTTTTTCCAGATATGAAAGATTTGTGCTGACTATATTTAATGGACAAATACGTCATGAGCTGTCTTGCGATTTTAGTTTTTGGGCGGGTGCTTTTTTTTTTATCACCGTTAAATTATGACGCTTCCTAGCAGCGCCCGGCCTTCTGCTTTTAAATCATATTTTCTGAGCGCCGACTTTCTGAAGACATATTTCCAATTTCGGACGTGCCTTTCACAAGCGGGTGATTCACAGCAGTGTGGCTACTCCATGCCTTGTTTTCAAACTGACATACGAGGTGCTTTTATACTGAATATTATTTTCACACATAATATATATAGTAGATATCCTTGCTAAAATAGGCCATTAAAGTCCTGGGTGGCCCTTCATAAGGTTGCCTATGATTAATGTCTTATTAGACAAAATGTGTTCGGTACTGAAGAAGTGTTAAGGCCCCCAAGCAGGTGTACAGGTGCGTGCAATGGCAATGGTCGTACTGTTTGCCAAAATTGGAATTCTGATTGCCTCCTTCAGACGTTTCATGTTCAGTGTCTTCTCTGATTATGTTAAACTAATCCTGGTGTACGTGCTTAGTTTGAGCCAGAGAAGGCTGAGGGAGGTGTGCATTTATTTGCAGTTGTGGTTTTTCAGGTTGGGTCCAATTTTTGGACGTGAAGGATCCCTTCAAGCCCTGGCCCACGTGTGCAGGGCGCCAACCTTCCGCGGTCGGGTACCTCATTTTAACCTCAAACCACCACGGGTTAAAAAACAGGACATGTCCCTTTAAGAGGTCGGACATCTCCCACAACATTAAGATAAGCAAGCTTAATTTCCTGAGTGGGAGACTAATGAAAGAGGTTTGGAAAAAGGAAGGAACAGATGGTTCGTTTAATAAGTTTTTTTTCCGTGGTGGTGGAGGCTTTTCGGGGGCCTGACGGAACGCCCACCGCCGTGTCCCGTTCTGTTAGATGTCGTTATAACCGCAGATAAAGTTACGGCTTTCAGTAATGAAACAATGTTGTCCGACAGAAAAGACTGAACAGGCTGCTTTTTGCGAGGATAGCTTTGGAAATCCTTAATTCATATTTATATTTTGAAGGTGATCTAAATACTTGTGTATGTACTTGTATTTTTGTATGAGTCATCGGTTACATTTGGCCATTGATCATTAACATTAACATTGTCTCAAATAAAAAAAATGGAAACGTACAGTAAGATATAAACAATTAAATGTAATAGATCCAGCTTACCTAACCGCTAATCCCGAAGAGGTTCGAGTTCAACCCATAATGTGTCGTGTTTTTGTGTTCCCTGTGATTAGTGTAATAGCTGAAATTCTCTATTAAAACAAACCTTAGTCAGAAACAGTTCACCCACAGAGCTGCAATAATGCAACTACTTGTTATTTGCTTTGAATTTGAAAAAGCTGCACACAAACTGATGAAGCCAAGAAAAAAAACACATTTTAGGGTGACGATGTGAAGTTTAAAGGGCTGACACTGAAACAAACCGCTCACATTAATACTTGTAAAGCATGACATCATTGAACAGACTAGAAATATGGCAAATGGGCGGGGGCTCTGCACGTGTTTGGGATGGGGAGAGCAGCCTTGCGAGTCTCCTGTCAAATCGATCGCAGCTGGGGAGGAGTGAGGAATCCCTAACTATCATTATAACTCAGGTCTCCTCCAGCGAGGGTGACATGCGATCGCCTGCCTGCCGCTAAGACAAGAAGTTGCTCGGATCTTAACTGAATCACGCCTGTTCGGATTATCCGGCTCCTCTGTGCGTTTTTCTTCTGTATTGGTGCAGATGTGACCTCCTGCTGGTCTTGGTGTATGTCTCTGTGCGACGAATTTACCGAAATGTGAGCGACGCCAACTTCGAAATTAAGACGGCAGAAGTGGCGCCGGTGGCGGCTTTGCGATAACCGGCCCCGAGGTCCTACTGTAACCGTCCTTGCGCTGTGAACAAATTATTCAATTTCACTGAAGTCGGAAATTAGAATCACTAAAGTGAAAAACAATTAACATCTGATTCTGGCGGATATCTTAAAGCCTGTTTGGGTGAATTAGACCATCGATCGTATCGATTCAGGTAAGACCGTACATATTTGTTCCCTTATCTGTTCTTACATTGATGCGATGCCCTGCTTAATACCCTCGTTTTGACTTTGGTGGTCTGTTTTGGTATTTTTGTAAGCAGGGACAAATTGTCAGTCACGGATTGGTTTGTTATGCACGATAATTGGTCTACCGATTGCTTGTTAAATGTTCTGTTTTTTTTGTTTTTGTTTTTTTCTTTTTCTTTTCCTTTTTGGGATGTACACTAATAGCAAATGTGGTAAGTGCAATTATCTTAAGTGCGATTTATCTTTCTTCAAACCGCTGTTCCAATCATTCAAGGTTTTATGTTTAAGAATCGTGCCATGCCAAGTCGGAGTTACTAAAATTGATTTAATTTGTAGCCAAAGTTAGACAACCTTACACTCCTAACGTGAAATCTGCATTTGGAAAAAGTGAGCGTTAGAGCGCGTGCTTGGGCTGGATAAGAGCCGTGCGCGCGCCGAGCCGCTGATCTGACTCTTTCATGGGAGGGGGGCAGAGCTACCGGCTCTTACAAGCATCACTTTCGTGGGAGGAACGTGGAAACGCCGTATTTACACAAAACGAATTAAATTAATTGGTCACATCCGAAAAAAGAAAACGAAGCCATCTCTGCACGCGCCGGGATTCCAGCCCTGTTCGGTGCGTTTTAGCATTTCCGCGTCTGTTAGGGTTTTTGCCCTTTTTGCCAGTCGACACAGCTGCTATCCGGAAATTTGAATTTCCTCCGCGATGTAAGGATTTGAATAAGAGGACGCCGGTGTTTGAAAGGTTCCCGGAGACTTAATGCTCACTGACGGGTGCATTTCGGCTCAAACGGAGCAGTTAATCCTACAGAGATTACACTCCCACGGCCCCCTCCACCTCCACACGAATCGCTTCTGTTTTCTGAGAGGGCGGCCGCCGTAGATCCTTCAGAGCTTCACTTTGAATGACTCTCCCCGCACCGTCTCCGAGTGCGCCTGCGCTCGCCTGTCACCCCCCCCCCCCCCCCCCCCCCTCCCCCCCCCCCCCCCCCCCCCCCACCTGGGCTTGCCGCATTGCCCCCCCAGCCCAAATTTCTCATTTTTTTCCCCCCCCCCCCCCCCTCCTCCAGCCTATGCATGCTAATCCTTCCCTCTGACCCACACCTGAACTGCCCACAGGTGTCTGGCTTGGCCTGTCTGACTCCTGCCTTTGTCTTGTTTTAATTGCTATGGCTCTTTTAGAGAGTGTGACGCGTGGCTCCTGTCCAGTGATACGGGTGATAAATAAAGCGGCCATGCAGTGAGCAGGCTGGCGATCTGCTCCTCTCCACACTGGATGCATTTTTCACCCGTGTTTACCGATCCACTCTATCCACCACTGATTGATAGATTTAGATTAGATGGAAGGTGGGGGCTGTGTGTTCTCTCTCATGTAGTGATGACCCTATCTTTTTATCCTCAGACTGACTCTTCCATCTCATTCTGCTTCTCTGCTCTCTGGAGTGCTGCCTCACCTCTGTAAAACAATGCCCCCCACTCCACATTCCGACTCTAGGACTGTCTTGTTGCGTGGGAGAGCAGCTGCAGGGGACCAGCTGAAGGGCCTGAAAGTGTACAGCTGACAGTTTTTAATGATTGACTCTGCAGCGCCCCCTGCAGAACCGCGTCACACTGCATCGACTGTGTTCACTCGCGTGGGAAAAGGCCGGAAGGCTATGCGGTAGCTCGTTCTGGTGGTAGGCAAACATGTGCTTAACTCCAAATGTTTTATTTTCTGTATTCATTTGGTCAAAATGTATATAATTTAAGTTGTTCCATCATAGCGTTTTAGCAAGATCAGTGACGATTACCAAACTAGGAACAGGCCCCGCCTCTCTGGCAGAAGTACACCATTGCAGGCGTGGCAACGGTGCCAGAACTTTGGTGAAACCCTGTTGATGATGACCGTGGTGAGCCGAATCCATAGCTAAGTCACAAGGACGGGAGCCGGATGGGTCTGGGGACAGGGGCTGTGATTTCTCTTACGTCATTTACCCTCTGTCCTTCCCCAGCAAGTCACGCTGGCGGGGTGCGGGACTGGCCTCAAATGTCACACTTTTGCATTTCATTTTTTTTTTCCTCCCTCTGAGCCGCGAAAGGAACAAAGAAATATCTTTGCAGCGAGAGGTTAGATTTTGCCTTAATCCCACGCTGGCAAGAGGGCCCCTTCTCACTGTGTGCAGCATGTCAGCCGTGACTCTGAGCTGAGGGCAGCCGTGACTCTGAGCTGAGGGCAGCCGTGACTCTGAGCTGAGGGCAGCCCTTACCGTGGATCACCATGTGTATGGCCTGCAAAATAAAACCTAATTTTCTGCTGTATAAATAAAGCTTTTACTTAATTAAGAGGCAAACTGCGCTGATTTCTTCTAATACATTTGTAATGGGGGGAAAAATGTGTGTGTGTGTGTATATATTGTCTTTTTTTTTTTTTTTAATAGATTTAGCTTACCAAAGCTTAGGGGGGTGTCAGGACCGATGGAATTTAGGGTTAACTGAGGTGTGTGTGGATGCCCCCCCCCCAGTGGAAGCTGGGGCTGAGGGGGGATTTTGCCTGATGGAGGCTCTGCTTTCCCAGGATTGCCTTGGAGGGGTGTATCTGAGCCCTCAGGGTGGGGGCCACTTGGGCAGTATCGGTGTTGGGGGGGAGTGGACAGTCCGTAGGGGGCAGTGTCACTCTCCCAGGATGGAGGAGCAGATGAATTACCTATTGACAGTGCTGATGCACCTCACTGGCTCTGTAGGATGAGCCATCGATCAGCAGTGCTGCTCCCACCGCTCTGCATGGCCAACGCACCTGGCCGATAATGTAATTACGGACATGCTGGTCTACCGGATTGCAGATCTCCCGGATTGCCTCGCACGGCCTCAGGGGGCCTGGAGTGATCAAGATGTTCTCTGTCTACCTGAGGGCCAGTCGGACCAGAAGCGGCCTGCAGTTGGTGCGCCGAGAAGATCGCAATCGATTGGCATGATCCATAAACAAACGACATCTAACAAGGCTGTGCAGTCGATGCGATTGGCTGCGTCTGACGCTGTTAAAGGTGGGCAGTAACTTGATTTTGGTTAATCACAATTTGGGTGCACAGCCAGACTTATTAGAGACGTCCTTGAATGTGTTTGTTCTATTGTTTTGTTTTGTCACCATAGGCTGGAAGGCAGGCAGACTGCGAGGACGGTTCAGGGCCCCCAGTAATCGCCACACAGCGTTTCCGCTGCGTGGGACCCTCTCTTTTCTTTCCAGCTCTCAGATCTCGTCCGTTTTGCCCGGAGATCTTGTTCCCCGTGGCACATTGTGAGCTGCATTTCCTTTTTAATGGTGGTTCAAAAAGCTGGCTTGGCTCACCAACGCTGGCCAGTCCAGGAAAAACAGAAGCTCTTAATCAACACCCTCATCCGGATGTTATTTATATATTTTCTAATGGTGAAGCCGTGGTATTACGGGCTCAGGATACTGTTTCTACAAAGTGCTCATCATTGATCTCCTTGTCTGACGGATAATGAATTTTAATTGACTTTTGGTTAGGGTGTTGGTTTATTGAAAAGTGTGGAGCAGATGGTCTTGTCTGTGGTTACACATGGCTGTTCAGCGTTTGCACTTAATCTGTCCATTTGGCTCCACGATTTGTTTTTCATTTGGGGTTTTCCATTTGTGTCGTCCCCAGTGGGATATATTTTTAGAGCTTATATGAACCATGGTGCATTTAAAATGATTTGAATGTCATGTTTTATAGTAAACCGTCACATAAAGATAATTTAGGCTACTCTTATGGCCTGGGACCAATAAAATGGTGAATTCTGACGGGCATCGTGTTCAAGATGACATGTTTACCATCTGCAACGTATTCAGTAATGTAGTATACTTAACATTTTTACTGTTTTTTTTTGTTTTGTTTGTTTATTTAAAACCACGAACAATGACGAGTCTTCCCACGAACACGTTTGTCCGTGTACGGACAGGTTGATGATCCCTGATTATGACTGATTTGCAAGTTTACTAAAGTTTATTCGCAATGCATGCAGTTTGTTGTTTTCTTACAAATATAGCTTGCAGTATTTAAAACTAACTATATGGCTTTTCTTCAAATTACGATGTTTGCGGCTGAGATAACAAACTGCAGCTACGAGGTTTGTCCACCAGGTGCCGTCGTCCACCGCCAATTAGCAACTGGACGCTCCCGCCATCTCTGGCATCATAAACCGTGCAGAATTACCGGTGTCGATGCTCCGCCGAAGCCCGGATTTCTGCGATGTTTTCATATTGCAGATCAGGAGATGGAGTATGAGAGAGGCCTATTATAACTGTTTCTCTGCCTTTGCTGGGAAAAAAAGCAACACGATTTACACCTCAGCCAGACAAGTCATTAAACTTTAAACTGGAAGAATGAGAGCGTTTCCCATTAACGATTTTATTAGCGAATACAAATTCAGGGTTAGATCGACGTATTAATATTGATATCGTCACCTCTGCTTGTCTTTGATTACTTTTACCTATGAAATGGATCGTCGCGTCTTATTTTTCTTTGACCTTAAAGTGTGCGCAGGAAACTAGATTTGAGATTAAAAATCTGAAATTTGGCAGAAGATAACATTTCAAATGTAAAAATTAACAAGGCCTAAGGACATACGAATAAAAATAGTTTATCTGGGGTTTGTGTGCGAATAAAATGGAATAACAGCTAATGGTGTAAAAAAAAAAAAAAAAATCTGCAGAAGTCGCAAACTTAAGAACCCTGTAGATGAAAAACCTATACATCCTAATGTGATTTTAAGTCCAGTTGACTGTATAAAAGTGAAATTTCTGGTTAGAGATCCGTCTGCTGTGTGCATAATGATAAACTATTTATAGAAGATACAAACCCGAAGACATATGGGATGTAATTATCGGAAACAACACGCAAATGTGGCTGGGACTTCTCGATGCATTTAAGAAAAACAAAACCTGGGAAATCCAGTTTTATTTAATTAATAATAAATTTTAGGACATTGATCTCGCCATTTCTCTTGTCCAGGCAGCCTTCGTATGCCCCTACTTAATGCGTCTGTATTTCAAGTTAATAAGATCCCCTTCGTCACACAAGTAACAGGTTAATTAGAAACTGTTTTATTTCCAGTACGAAATCCTTAGACTAATGTTGTATTCAGCCAGCTTTTAATTCTTATTTTCGATTCCGCTTACTGATCTAGTGCCGGTAGTTTGCTTTATTTCGTGTGTAAGTGAGCCTCCACGGGATTCGAAATGCGTTCGTTTGAAGCAGAAGGCCAAAACAGGAGCGTTAACTACGACGTCTAAACGGTTATTGGCAGGGGGAGCCGGAGAAGCGGGGAGAAGCAACGACATTCATCGGCAGATAGAAAGAGCGGAGCCTCGTTCAGCCTGGAATCAGAGACGCTGACGATGGCGGGTCGGTGTTCCTCGGAAAGACGTAAACCCAGAATGATTCTCCAGAGAGCAGGATTAAAGGGCAGACAGTCTTGCCCTCAAAAGGAATATGCAATGTGCCCCTTCTAGTAAATATTAATATTTTTCAATTGGTTGCCCAGATTTACTCGGGTGTGTGAATATTAATGACAGATTTTAAAAGCCGAATGTAATGCTTTCCGGCAGAGTCGCTTGTTGGAGACAAGACCAACCCCCCCCCCCCCTTCGCTGTGCGTCCCGGACGTTTGGGATGGCCCACTCCTGGGACCCGGAGACGCAGTAAGGCTGTGTGGGCCGACGCACAGAGAATGTCGATTGAGAAGAAAGTGCTACCCCCACAGTGTGGGGCATGGCTACCAAAATGCAATAGCGCGATTCAGGGTGGATTCAGGCAGCTTGCAAGGACACACCAGTGCTTGTGGGCGCCCCCTGGAGGTGGGGTGGTTCTGCTCGTCTTCATCAGTGGTCCTCTTGGTTCAAGCATCAGAAGGTGACAGCTGGTGCAAACGGTTAAGGAACTGGGCCCTGTAGTCGGGGGGCGGGGGGGAGGGGGAGATGTAACAGGTTTAGGTCCCAGAAGGACTGCTGTGAAGTAAGTGACTGGATACCTTCCCTAAATGCCCTTGAACGAGGAACAAACTGACTGGCTTTAGTGACAACAGCAGGCGCGTATAAAGTAAATGCATCACAAAGTGGGAATCCTGTGCGATACGCATTCCTGGCAGTAAATGTCGAAGTACCAGGTGTCGATTTTGTATTTTTTGTCTTTACTTTGATGCTAAACAGTTTCTCTCTTTTTGGGTTTGTTTACCTTTTCCACTTAAACGAGTCACTCATGCATTTGTTTGAGCAAACTGGAGTAATTATAGTGTGGAAGGCGATTAGGCTGTGAGAGGTGGCTGGCCGGCTGGGTTGGGGGGGGGCGGCCGGTGTGACATATGCTCCCCCATTCCGGACACTGCGGCTGACGGCTTCGGGGCGGCTCTGAACCGGCTTCCCAGCTGTGCATCGGGGCCCGTGTTTCCGCGGGTCACTGCACAGACTGTGGGCCAGGCTGGTTACAGGGACGTGTTTACAGTAAAGCCCATGCGTCCATTACCGCCATACAAAACAGGGGGGGGGGGGGCAGGCGTTGAAATAAAGAGCATTTCCTTTGTTGGACTCTCTCTGCTGACACGTCAAACGGCTACAGGTCTGTGCCAGTTCTGTCTGGTCCGGTGACTGATCTTCCTGTCCCTCCGTCCCTCCCTCTCTCTCTCCTGCTCTATCTCTTCACCGTCACTGCTCACTCTGCTCTGATTATTCACCCGTCCGTAATGCGCCCCCTCCCCTCGCCAGGGGAGAGCAGTAACCTCGCTGCATTTACATTTTATTTACAGATTGCTCTGTCAGTCTGAGGCGTCTACGCTGTACACGGGCTGGAGATCGGCGGTTGTGCCCAGAAAAAAAAGTGACCGCGATCCTATTACTGCTGTGAAAGGGAGCAAAGGAGCAGTGGTGGATGGAGGGGATAGTCTGAGGATATTCAACACTGGTTCATTGATCTTAGATTGATGAAACCTTTGCATAACGGAGAAACACTCAAAACATTCTTGCTTAGGGAAGATTTTTTTAATTGGGCCCATAAAATATGTTTAATCTGGTTTCAACTCGAGATTAAAGGATTAAAATAGAATTTAAAAAACATCTGCTGAAGAATGTAAGCAGATCAAGTTGGACTATTTGAGATTAAATGGCTACTGCGTTCATTAACAGCACATGACAGTGATTTACAGATTAAGAGCCCCGGAACTTGGGTCGTGCTTATAGTGGTGAAACAGGGAAAAGAGAATGTTTGATAAATATGAAACGTTTTAAGTCACGCCATCAGGGTGGAGTTATGACACGGACTACTGCCTGTGGTAGCTTGGTAATGAGTTTGAGGATGGGAGGGAGGGAGGGGAGTTTGATACCCAGAAGTCCCACAAGTCCCATACGAGTTAGACACTCACAGGCTCCGTGTTATAACTCGGCTTCCAGGACACTGGGCAGCCAGTGGCACACGCAGGGAGCTCTGCAGTGATGTCACACGTGCCCCTGCCTCACCGCAGTGGCATCCGATCCTCCGTTTGTCCGCTTGAGCGGCCCGATGTCGGGGCGTCTCTGACGCAGAGTGCCAAGGCAGGAACGCTGCTGACCTCTGCTGCCTGTGCATGTAGGACTGCGAATGGCGTCTCCGTGTAAAAGCATGCATCTGATTTCACTAGGAAGCACTGAAAGAATGTTGGATTTCTGTTTTTATTATTCAGCAGAATGTTTATTTTCTTGCAGCAAATAGTTCAGCCACAAATGAGGAAAAAAACAAAACGAGATGTTCTGATTTTTTTCAACGGACTGCAGTGACCCCAGACGGCGGGGGTCAGTATCTGGGTTATCTCTTCAGGTGGATGGGGGCTCGTTCACCCCCCCAGCTGAGCCCCCTTTGCTGGCTTGGCGGGGTGGGCTGATAAATCCGTGGCTTGTTTTCCACACTGTTTGCCCAGTGGCTTGGCCGTAGGGAGATGGCTACCTGTGGCAATTACTCCAAATGAGACCCCATGGACCTTGCGCATGTGTCTGCGTGTGTGTGTGCGTCCGCCAGCTGCTCTGCCTCCCTCAACACTCTGCCTCCTCATAAAGTTTTGATGTCAGCGGCCGATCGCGTTGCCTTCCCGGGTCACCAGAGCGGGTTAAGCGAGTCTGACGCCGCGGTGACAGCCGAAACTCGCCGAGCAGCCCGTGAGCCTAACGTTACGTGCCCCTGACCTCGTTGCTAGGTGATCGGCGCTCCGTGGACAGCGGCCGTGACGGGAGTTCGAGGAGAAGGAGACAGCGTCCCCGGTGCCAGCGAGCGTGCTGATGGCACTGTCCGTCTCTCCGCAGGGCCGTCCGGCGGCCAGGGCCGCACCCAGGCGATGACAGCCGCTCCGTCCAGCCGACCCGGTGCCGGAGCCGAGGAGGAGGGGATTTAAGGAGGCGAGCGAGGGAAGCGCAGAGAGGTAGGAAGGGCCTCCCTGCCAGACTCACATGGACGCATTAGCTTCAGATGTGTGAAGGTAACCTTTTGAGTTTCTGGTAGCTTTGTGATGCACAGAGCAGTTAAAATAAGCTATAAGATGTAATGTAAGATTAGAAAAACTTTATGGATTCCGGGGTAATTGGGCCTTTAACATGCTCAGTGCAATAGAAAGAGAGACTGAGTGCAGAGAGTCAGAGACCAGAACACTTCAGTCTCCGCGTGGGAAGGATTAAAATGGGTAAATTTAAACAATTAAATCTAGGATAAAGTAAAAATGTTAATTTCTCAAAAACCTGTGTGCACAAGATTCAAATGAGATACCAATGGGAATTACGAGAGAATATGTAGAGTAGCTTTACAAAGTGACTTAGCTGTAGGTGGTCAGTGCCAACAGACATAGAGGTTATGGAGGTAAGTCCCGTCGATTTTAGGATTATAGACTTTCTCCAATGTACGCCAAAAACTTGACTATAACACAGAGAGGTGGGGGGTTGAGGCTTGAGGGAGGATATGGTACCCACGCCTTGTCTCTGTCATTGTGATTGCTCTAGAGCAGGGTTCCCCGGTTCCGGCCCTGGAGGGTCAGTCCGTAACACAGTTTGCAGATTTCCCAGCTTTATTTTATAGTTTGTCAAAATGCATGCAAGTCTCCCTGTGCACAAAGGTCTCTCTCTGTCTCCCTCTCAGTCCCCCTCCCTCCCCCTGAAGGACGATGGTGTGGGCACGGCCCCTGTGCTCACGGCAAGCCGCCCTCCTGCTGTGCGTGATGCTGCAGTGTTGCTGGCTTTCACACGCTGGCAACCGTAACTCGCGAGGACCGACTGGTGAGTCCTCTTCCTGCGCCTCGCCGCCCCCTGGGGCTCATTAGGGTCATGTGGACAGAGTTGTGACGATGCCGTCAGGAGCCCAGTCTCCCCTAGTGTCCCTCTGCGCTTAGTCTTTAATGAAGACGGCTCTCAGTGATGCTCTGACGAGCTCTGCACCTCGTTTCCTGTCGCTCTCTCGGATTTTTCACGCAGCGTACGGTCTTTGGGCCGCAGTACAGATTAATGGTCCGTGTAAGTCCAGAAGATGCAAAGTCTCCTCAGTTTTAATTCTCAGCGGGAGGGTTTGCTGAGAGTGTGACCCCCCCCCCCCCCCCCCAGGGAGGAGGTGGACTGGGGATGTGTGGATAGATGTTTCGTTCGTTCAGGTGGCTTCGTGCCCAGGGGGGCGAGTGTAAGCTCTTCCCTGTTCAGAGGGGCTGGGAACCTCGGGGGGAAACAGCTGGTGAGCAGGGACCAAGTGTCAGGTGTGGCGGGGGGGTGTTCAGGACCTTCCTACACATCCTCCAGATGTTCAGCCTCCTCAGGGCCGTCTGGACGCCCCCTCTCCTAATGGGGAGCCCTTGTATTGAAATCAGACTCTCTTACTGCAATTAGCATGCAGGCCTTACAGTGCTAGGGTTGGTAAGCTTCGCGTCTGTCCAGCGCACTCTTCCGAACAAACCGTCACCTTCGCGTGCTGAAGAAAAGATCCAGTTCAGGCTACAAAAAGTCTGCAGCTTCCCGCTAACCGACACCCACAAGATAATCCCCGTCTGCATTATTCATGAGCCCTACTTTCCTTGTACCGATTGTGACCATCGCCACGTAAATAATTTAGGCTGCCGAGAGGTCAGACGATCGTTCTTTTTTGCTGAATCATTCATAGAAAGTGAAATCTTTCCTGACAGGAGGACTTTCCCCTCTTAATTATTGCCTTTTGTTTTCCGCGGTGGAGTAAGTTCGGCCTTTTCTGGCTTTCAACTGCAGCTTATTTAGCCGGAGGGGACGCGGATTTAAGGGCACCATTTACTGATCCAGCGCTAATTGCTGCGCGGTTTATGGTGGAAAGTGAAGGTGAGACGCGTACAACCCTTTTCATTAAACTTACTGCGACTGAAAGACGGTTTGGAACATGTGCAAAGGGCGTCTTTGGACGCGGTTATTTTCGCGGTTATCCCACTATGCCAGCGATAACCTTTGTATTGGATTGATTTGTTTCTATTTGCATAGTTTTAATTTTTCAGCCCCCACCCCCCATCTACCATTTACTGTAAGTCTACTGATCTCCACTAGATGGCTCCGGTGCACCAAAAATCCTTTCCATGTTCTCTGATCCATTTGCGCCTTAAATATTGAGCATTTTCATCCGACGCTGAATCGGTTTGGTTGCCCAGTACATAAAGAAGCGTTAAAATTCTAATCAGATGTGAGAGCCATTTTTAGCAAGAAGATTATATCTGTGGCTGAAGATCTAATACAAAAAGGCCTTTGCAACCTGGTGGTCTTGTGGTTAGGATTCGGTGCTATAAGCACCCCAGCCTGGGTTGGATTCCTGGTCATGGAATTCCTCTTCTGGGGGGCTGGTGGGCGGCTCAGCAGGCTGGGCCTCTATGTCTGTGATCAGAATAGTCCCATCTCTGTTGGGCCCTTGAGCGAGGCCCTTAACCCCCCCGTAATGCTGCAGGGGCGCAGGATGAATGGCCTGACCCTGCACTCACACCCCCAGCTTCACTCCCACCTGTACGTACCAGTCAAAGGAGAGCATGATGGGATAGGAGAGATGGCGCATGCCAATGTACCTGTTCTCGTGCAAATAAAGGATCGTATTCTCGTTCGCACTAATTTTTATAGACAATTTATGGATGCTAATGTTTTTAAAGGAAGGTTTCATTATGGCCATTCAATGGGCTTTTCGGCCCTCCATAACGTGCTGGGGGACTGAGCCAACGCGAAAGAATTCGTGACGTTTGCTCTTTAAGGATGTGCGATGGAGAAGCTTCTAATCAGGAGGCGGGATAGAGGGAGCGGGGACAGGAGGTGTGGGAGGGGAGGTGCTGCTGGTCCCGCTGGCCAGAGGCTCTCAGTAACTGGGCCACACGGGTCACGCCGCTGACATTCCCAGGTGTACAATTCACCAGGTTCGTTCTGCGAACGCCTGGATAAAAGCACGTGGTCACGCAACATTTTTATTTTACTGCTACCAACCCCCCACATGTGTACTGTCAGTTGATGCGTACCACCCCCGTTGTCCCCAGGTGTGACTTTTTATCCAGCCGTTTGCTGCGTGATCAGGGGGCTGCTCCTCCCCCTGTACAAGAACATGTCACCTCCTGTCACCCGTGTCCTTCTCCTGGTGTGCCTCTGTGGGACCAGTGTGGCCCGATGTCTGCTACTCACCTCAAGGTGACGGTCCGCTGATGGAGCCTGGGGAGCTGGGGGGGACATCAGCATCATACACAAATGCTGGGTGCCTTCCTGCCCCCCGGGGGCGCTGGGAGGGGGGCGAGGTCGTACACATATGCTGGGTGCCTCTCTGCTTACTGGGGGTGGCGGGGACAGCGGCGNGGGGGTCATTTTATTTTTGTGGGATCGCAGCTGCTGGTTTGGTGACTTTCATCTTGCATGTGGCCGCTTACGTGTCCCCTTTAATGTCCCCCCACCTGACGAAGGTGACATTTACATCTGCGGTTTGCCGACGCCCGTGTGAAACCTTTTGGCCTTGGGTAGCAGATGCTATTAAACTGGCCCCTGGGGGGGTCAAGTCTCCGTGAGGCCAGCGGGGATTGGTGCTTGTCGGTGGAGATTCTCCCGCAGCGACACGCCTGTAACACCACCTGTGGGTTTTCATTGGGGGTGGGGGGAACTGAAATGATGTCACCTTGACGGATGACGAGGCAGCCCTGGAGAGCAAAGGCAGCTCAGTCACGCCGCCATGTGACGGCGGGACACGGGAGTGCGGACGTGTGTCCTTAAAGAATGGGACACAGAAGGCTTTCCCTAGTGATTTAGCTCCATTTTAAAGTGATTTTCTTGCCAAGTACCTCTTTCAAGCTGTAATCGGAAAGCAGGAAAGGAAATGCTGTAAAAATGAAGCAAGTGTTGTGTGTTTTATCTGGGGATGAACCTGGTGTGGACAGACCAGACCTTATGACCTTCGGGTGGATCTGGGGTCTCTGATTTGTTTTCTTTTTAACACTGAAATCTGCTCACCAGTGCGGAGCACCTGCTGTTTGTTCGCAGCTTTCCTGTCATCGATAATGGTTGTTAAACGAATCTGTCAAACAAAAGGAGCTTCCAGCCGCCGAGCGGCATGCAGCCCAGTCCGCTGGCTTATGGGTTTACCCTCTCAGCATCTGCTATTTTTACTCCAAAATACGTCGGCGACAGCTCACCCAAAGGGGGGTGTCCGTGTCTCACAGGGCCACCCCGAAGCGGTGCTCGTGGGCTGGCCGCCGATTCGCGCTTGGTCATTGGCAGTGGGCCTGCCAGTCAGCTTGTGTCGTAGAGAGATTAATGACACGGCAGTTTGCCGCCTTCTGTCTGTCTGCCTGTCGAGGTCACTGATATATTTCCATCAGTTCATGAGTTTTATGCTGGTCTTCAGTCAAGCTTGAAATTTAATTTCATGGGAGTTCTTTTCACACTCTGCTTCTGTTGAGCCACATTTGCTAGATTTATTTATTTAATGAACATTGTGTTTTTGCTGAGTACTGTGGTGCAGTGTTACTTAGGAGGACCTGCATAGTTCCTTAGGAGTAAAGCCTTATTTGCTTACTGGTTTTGGCTGTATTAAGCTAAGTGTGTCTGCACTGGTATCCCTCACCGGGCTTCTGACAGTCTTTGTAAACGGTCCTCGTCACAGCAGGTAGACTGCCTATGAAATGGGTGATGAAACATGCCAGTGGGGATGGGATCCTCCATCTACCGAACCTCATGGGAAATTCACCATAAAAGGACATGACAGACTGAAAGTCGCCATAGAAGGACATGACAGACTGAAAGTCGCCATAGAAGGACATGACAGACTGAAAGTCGCCATAGAAGGACATGACAGATTGAAAGTCGCCATAAAAGGACATGACAGACTGCCTTTCACCTGTCCCCTATTTCCTGTTTTTATAATCCCTGGTTTCACTTTAACTTATGGCCAATATCTGCTGACTGTCCTTTATTCGTCAGATATAGGAGTTAAAAATGCTATGTGTTAGCGCTCAATGAATGTCTTTGGTTTAAATGGGACAGCACCAGTGCCTCAACCAATTCCGGCTGATTTTACTGTGTGTACCTCAGCCAATAGGGAGTCCTGCCTTTGAACAGTGGCTGGTTTTACATAGTGCGGACGTTTTTTGTGAAATAATGAGGTTTGTTACCGATCTCAGAGGTGCACAGTGGCAGCCTTTGCGGAGAGAGTTCTTGTAATGAGTTCCAGACCGTGCACAGGAGCAAATGTCAATAAGGCTGCTGCTGCTTGTTACTGCATGCCGTGACCAGTAGGAGGCGTTGCCAGCTCGTGTCAAAAATTAAAAGAAGGCCTATTTATCAAAGGTTGCTTTCCATTTCTTCCCTCAAAAATCTCTCCACCAGTCCTCTATACTGTTAGGGCTCAGTCTAGATTCACCTTAACTGATTAGTTTGGTTTCCAGCTGTACAAAGTGATAGAAGACAAAGCCGATCTCGCCAGCGTTAGCTAAAAATGTGATCTGTAGTCATTTGGATGTTCAAATTCCAGTTTGCTCTTAAGCCAAAGTTTATTGGTATTGTCATAAAAAGTCTGTTCTCATCGTAAAAAGTCCCAGCTTTGCATCTCTGCATTTCACCTGAACAGCATTTATTCTCTCCATCTACGTCTTCTATCTCTTAGGGATTCCTGTATGTGCCATCAGAAAATCTGAGTCTGCATTGCAAATAATACATATTTAAGTATAATTTATATATAGTGTTTGTGTACACACAGATCAGAGGCTGCTCGGTGCAGCTGCTGCAAAAATGGTTTATAAAGAGACGAGTGAATTCGGGGTGCTGATTCAGTGACTTATCCTGCTTTGATGGGTCTGTCAGTGTGGGACCCTAATGACTTTCAGCCCGACCTGTGCTGAGATGCAGGTGATGGGCTTTTTGTTGCCCTGAGGTAACGACAGACTGCAGAGCTGCGATGGAGGCCGAGGGTTTGTGCGACAGCCGCTGGCTGCGAGGGTGCATTTCTTCCGTGTTTCTATCAAGTTGCTATGGAAATTGCACAATGCTCACATCCAAGAATCACGTTCTCCTCTGTGTCAAGTTGCTAGGCTACGGCCCTAATTTCCTCTGTGATCCCGGGGATGTGCCGAGATGACATTGTGACTGGCACCCATCCCTGTGTGACAATAACGAGGCGGAGAGGCAGCCTCTTATTTAAGAGCCTGAGGGGAAGCGGGCGCGAGCACATCCTCCATCGCCTCACACCTTCCCGGGAGGGTGGTGCCACCAGCCGCCAGCGCCAGGACGGGTACCTCGGGCCACCAGGACAGGATTACTCAAGCGGTTTGGTGTGGAGCATAGCAAACACCCCTTAAGCCGTGCTGCGGAATCCCCCCGATCCCTCTGCCCGCGCTGGATGAGGAGCGAGGAGGCCTGGGATACTGGCGTCGCAGCAGACTGAGCTCATGTAGGAGGTGTGGCTGCAAGCGGCTCTCTGTAAAGCCAGAAAAACAATGAAATGACAGCCATCGCAGACTGGCCCCTGGCGGGGGGGGGGGGTCCTGAAATTCTGTGCAGTGTTTTTGAAAACAATTCCCCCCACAGTTGGCAGTCCTATTCAAGTAAGCTGGCGTGCCTCTGGGTCTCTCCTGTGGGATTCTGGGCCGTGTGTGCTGTCGCTGGCTGCTCACTGGCACCTGTGCTGCCACCCGTGATGTCACCCGTGATGTCACCCGTGATGTCACGCCAGCCTGCATGTGCTTATTTAATGTGCCTGTCCCCCCCCCCACCCCGCCACCCCAGCCCATTACCAGGTGAAGCAGGGCACCTGCGAGGTGGTGGCCATTCACCGCTGCTGCAACAAGAACAAGATCGAGGAGCGCTCACAGACCGTCAAGTGCTCCTGCTTCCCGGGCCAGGTGGCGGGAACCACCCGGGCACAGCCGTCCTGCGTGGAAGGTAAGCGTGCTGCCTAATCATATGCTGACTGATACAGGCTGTGCCCTTGTCTGTCCGCATTAGCGGAATGAGGTCCCGCCTCTCAGGGTGTGCCTGTCCGCATTAGCGGAATGAGGCTCCGCCTCTCATGGTGTGCCTGTCCGCATTAGCGGAATGAGGCTCCGCCTCTCATGGTGTCTGTCCTGAGTAATACCAACCTATGCTCTGCCGCTCCACGCAGTTGATTCACTTACGAGTCATTCATTGATTAGACTTTCACAGATGACTTCCTTCCCAATGGGATGTGAATGAGCCTTTAAATGTCGGATTAGACAGTGCGCTCCATTTGTGCTGATCTTGTCCTGTTCACAGCTGGCTACTCTTCTGTCACTTGAACTTTTCAGCATATCATGGCCAGCCCGTCAACATTGAGTCAGAATGGTCAGATCCTCTTGTGAATGGCTCCAAAAATCATCAATCGTAAGGCCAAAGAAGTGGAAAACTTATTCAAGTACATTTGGTTAGTTGTGTAGGTTTCAGAAAGATGTTTGGATCTCAGTAAAGGAATAATTTCATGCAATTGGGACAGAGATATTCAGCTTTAGGGATTTTAGTCTTAAATCTTCATCATAGCTGTAATTTCTGACAGCAGGTCACTTCGCGGCTTCTGTACCTCCTGCAAAAAGACAGAAACGTCAGTGTTTCATGGGAGTCTTCACCACCCCCCTGCGTCTTGCCCAGGCTTAGTGGGGGTTTGTAAGCGAAGGTCACAGGAGGCAATGGGTGCCGACGACGTCCACGAGGGGCTCTGCTGCAAACGCCACCTCGCCGATTCCAACCAGCCCCCATCTCTCCAGAAGGGATTAAATACAGATGTGTGTCTCATTCATAATGGCAAAACGTCATTCAGGCTGTAAGGGATAATGTGTCTTTAGGGCTCGACAGACTCGCTGTGGGCGTTTGCTTTAGCGCTTTTGCGATTGTCTATGTCATCTCCCCCTCACCCACCGACTGTCGTTGTTTTGCTCGCTTGGGCAAAGTTCTCGTTTCACTCCCAGACAGTGAAGCCACTTTGACACAACGAGGTAGAACATGCTGATGGAACAGAAACTATATAGTTGCTCTGGGAGTCGCATAGTGCTGCGGATTATAGAATAATGATATAAAAGTGCTGGCCTGCTGTTACTGTATGATTACATATAAGGCCTGATCCAGAATTCTAGAGATCAAATTTCTATGTATTTCCCATTTTATCCTAATAAAGAGTAAATGCCATGGAAATGATTTGGCTCACTGCAAAACACCACGTAATTGTATTAACCTGAATTAATTTACATACATATACCCTTGTTGGGTGCTATGCTGCTCTGGCCACTAGAGGGCGAGTTCTCCATTCGCATAGCCTCCGGAGGTCTGTTGTAGGCAGCGGAGTCTGTTTTAATTGTGAACTTTATGGCTGCTTTAAAATGGGCAGCCTGGATTTGGAGGTGACTTGACTTCCCGTCCACTGTAATGAAATTCTTTGCGAGTGTGGGGGAAGCTGAGGGACAATGTGCTCCCTTTTTGACCTAATGAGCCCCCCCCCCCATTGCTCTACCCCCAACTACCTCTTAAACACATGCAAATTCAAGTTCCCCCTCCCTTCACCCCCCCCACACATCTGCTTTCACATTCACACCAGGCCCAGAAATGGGCAATTAGGAGGCAGTTAAAATGTGTGGGATTCCTGATGCCTTTCCTTAGCCACTGCTAAATAGCCATAATACTGTAACTGTTCCGATGTGTCACATGCCTCTTATTGGTCTCAGTGATTAGGCTGTCATCAGCGCCCCCTACAGGATGGGCCTGAAGTGAGCGGCATGGCGCCTCCTGCCTCATAAACGCACAGCACCTGTATCACCCAAAAAGTGCAGGGGTTAGGTTTAGGGTCTGTGATGGGATCTCTCACCCACATGGCTCTGGGGGTTAGCGGGCGGCCCATGGCTCTCCAGTGCGTCGCCTTCCACTCCACCATCCTCTGAAGCAGCCCGCCCCCCTGCCACTGCCGGCGTCCCTCGAACCCATGACTCCGGGACCCCAGTGACCTCCTGAAAAACATCTTTATTTATCGACAGATGGGTCTAGGGCTGTTTCTAGGTAACCTTTATGTCTGCCCTCCCGTGGAAATGTGTGGACTGACTGGCATTATGGGATGTGGGGATGGCATCCCTCCAGGCTCTGCAGTGCTGCCGCTGTACGTTCTGGCGATGGCTCGAGACGAACCTTCAATGCCAGATGGGGGTGTAGCTATAAATTCCAGGCCCCCTGACATACTGTCACCTTGTGCCCCCACCCAATTTCATGTATAATTTCACATATTTAAGGCCCCCTATGAGGTGCTGGGCCCCCTGAAACTGCCAGATTATCCATGGCCCTATTACGCCCCCTGCTGCCAGTTGTGGGTGATGTTCTGATACAAGGCAATGCCACCAATCAACTGTAACTAAATTGTTATACCTGAATACCTGAATCTTGACCCAGGGCAGTGTGGGGGCTCTGGACACAGCCCTGTGGCATGACACGTTCGAAGACGTGGCTTTGAGTGTGTGTGTGTGTGTGTGTGTGTGTGTGTGTGTGTGTGTGAGATTGCATGTCCCCTTCTGGAAGGCTGGCTTCCTCTAGCAGCCAAAAAGCATCAGTTACTCTTTGGACAGCCCTTAGTGTGGGATTGGGTGCCTCGTGATGGACTGACATGCACTGCGCTTAGAGTGCCTGTTCTTTGGTACGGGACAGGTGACTTACCCAGTTTGCGTCCTTAATAGAAGCCAACGATTCACCCAGTTCACGGTTCAGTTCGATTCACGATGCTGGATTTGTGATTCGATTTTCCCACGATATTTTTGGAAAAAAAATTAAGAAAAATTTATTACTAAAAGAATGTAACATTTTCCCATTCTTTATCAACTTAAATATTGCTTTAACATTTCCTATTGTTTAACCAACAATAATTATTTATTATTTATATATTTATTTACAGACATTTGTAAAGGTTGTTGTAAAATATAGTAGCCTGTTAACTATTAAAAATGAAAAGGGTGAATAATATATAGGCCTTTTCTTAATGACCATTTCACTATTACAGTGTTACTACTGTAGGTTGCATTAATTGGTTGCTGGTAGGGGACAGGCCAAGTTATTGTGCCTTCTGCTGTCTAAACCACGCAATTACAGCTAGGATACACTAAGGCATTACACAGACTAATAATAATTTGAGTTATTTTGCAGTTCATGTTTTATTTCTGTGATTTGGATCATCATAAATTAGTCCTGTGATTTATCGTTGCGCGGTATGTCGTTGCATGTCTACTAGCCACTGCTAGGACTTTGAAGGGGCCATCAGGATCCAGTGCAGGTCCCCCATCAGGATCCAGTGCAGGTCCCCTGTCCATCTTCATAAATGTCCCCATAGGGGACAAACACACTTCCCATAGATGACGCAGCATTCCTGTCCTCCCGCCTCCTTTCGACAGCCGACATTATGGAGAGCGGATTGGCATGGGCTTCTTCTGTGTGTCTGCTGATTCCTGCATTCGGGGGGGGGGGGTTGAGGGATTAGGCCACAGTGAATGCTGGAGCAGGGGTGTGTAAAACAGGATTCCCAATGGCTGATAAGTAAGGGTCAGTGCGGCTGTCTGTGTTTATGATGACACTCCTGGCGGGTCGGACCGGACCGAACCGCGAATCACCCCTAGTCATTAACCTGTTGGGTGCGTCATGTGATTGTGAGCCCTGTGGAGTGGGGTTGGGCACGCCAGTGTAATCTAATTTAATGCCGTAAATGGATTCAGATTGGCACCGGGGAGGCCCACCAGCTGTCGGCCAGCCCCAGTGGAGACCACCTGACCAGCCTCTGCACTTTTATTGGCTAATCTTTTTCAGCTATGCCGTTTACCAGCCGGATCATTCTGAGGGTGTGGAGAGCTGAGTGTGTGTTATGGGGGAGCAGGGGTGTTGGGGGATAGGAGTGATGTTCTTATGTCGTCTCTGAAGGCCATGGGTGGCCCCTCCCGGCATGTGGGGCCCAGTGAAGAGGGGGTTCCGGCGGTGGGCCTGTTCAGGCTGCATGTGAAAGAAGCATCCCCCCCCCCCCCCCCACCCGCCCTGGTGGCGTCTGTGTGTTTGTGCCCCGGGGGGGTGGTTACAGGCCTGCTTTCCCACAAACACAAACACACACACACCAGACACCCTCTCGCCGAGCCGCTGGTCTCATCTTGCGGCTCGTTTCGTCATTATGCTAATGAGTGCATCGGAGCACGCCGCAAGCGCGCGCGTGTGTGCGTGTGTGTGCGTGCTTTGCGGAAGCATACCATTTATGAAACAAGTGTTTGGTTGATTTTTGAAGCGACCCACCCCCGATTTGTGGGGTGGGGGGGAGACTGCAGACAGCATGCTGTGGGCTGAGGTGCTGAGGAGCGCAGGGTGTGTGGTGCACGCCGAAACAGCTGCAGTTACAGCTGTGACCACATGGTGGCAGAAACACGACAGTGACTCACTTGGCCCCTGCGGGCCCCATCTGCCAATTAGAGGAGTTTATTGGAGGGCGGGATCTGGCCGCCCGTCTGGCACCCCGTTAAATCTGCCCTGTCAGGCCGGCCCCTCCTCCAGGTTTAAGGTCACATGGTACGTCTGAGTGTGATGCCGGTCTGGTTCGCTGGGTGGCATTTTTCACCTCTAAGTGTGATGCCCGCGCTGGTATGACCTTCAGAGCACTCTGCTCCCTTGTGGTGGGCCCAGCGGGAGTCCTGGTACACAGTGTGCATGTGTGCACTGCCTCGTGTGGCATCCACGTGCTCACGGCCCAGCCTGCTGCATCACACACCTGGCACGTGTACGTATTGACTCAGACATGAAGCTGCTTCACACACGCACTGAACGGACAAAATCCAGTATGCCGGAAGAATAAAAGTCACTGGGTGTGGATATGAACCAAGAGGCTTGCAAGGACTTTCAAGAAAGGGAGCTGGCTCAGGTCCTATCCATCT